ATTTATTATATTACTACCCCTTTACCACTTTATTCGTACATGGAGTCGGGGGAGAATGGAATTTGGTTTTTTATTTTACAAATGGGCATGCTGGATCATACATCTATCCATATATCGRRATAGATAGATTGACCATCACACCCGAGATCTTTGATAGTGACGGTATCCACTCATATGGCCATGTTCTATTCGGAGGAATAAAATAAAGTTGTTTTTCGGAGAGATGGCTGAGTGGTTGAAAGCCCCAGTCTTGAAAACCGGTATAGTTTACTATCGAGGGTTCGAATCCCTCTCTCTCCTTTTTTGCTTGTTGAATAGATTTGTTTCTTTATTGGATTGGTTTTGATCGGATGGTTTCATTATCATAAAGAAAGGGAAGTGGCTCGGCTATTCCGCCTATTTTTTTTTAAATTTAACATCATATATTAATATTCTTTTTCATCTATTTTTTTGTGGTCTTTTAGTTTTCCAGTTTATTTAATCGTTTTCCGAAATACCTAACACTATATTTATACTATATTATAAAGCATTTAAAATAAACTTTTAAAAATCATTTTTGATGCATCAAGTACTTTTTATTGATGCATACTATTTAAAATATATTCAAGATTACAAGTAAATTTTGTGAAAGTACAACTTATTAAAACTCCATGTTTGAATTCATGTAACTAACTGTAGATGAACATAATCAAATACATAATAAACATCTTATTTTAAATATAAAAAATCTAAAATATAAGGATAATCACTGAGTTCTAACAGAATACTTAATTATTATCTTTATAAACAAATTGTATTATAAAACCGAAAATTAATTACTTCGTTATTAAATTATAATAGAAAATTTGAATTAAATAAATTACACAATAAATGAACTTTTAAATTAGTTAATTCGATACTAATGTCGATATTTTTTTTTCAAATCTTTATGAAATCTTCAAATTTATAGTTTATTTAAACATAAAAACATTATCATTTTCTCAAAATCACATAAACCGTATTATAAGTTATAACATTGACAAAGAGAAATAATAAAACGGAAAATTAAAATCAAGATGTATCTCGCTGCATTGTATAAGTACTCTTCTAGTATTTATATATATATATATATATATATATATAATAAGGGGTTTAATCATTTGAAAACTTTAAAACTTATGAAATCCATGAGAACTTATATCTTAAGGTTTTGTTTCATATGATTTATTTCCACCTAAATGTAGTATTCAATGTATTTATTAACATATATTTGTTTCACATGTATCTATTTTATATGTATTCGGTTCACAATGTAAAACTTTTTTACGTGTATTTTTTCTTTCACAAACTCATAAAAAATGTCTATATTATAAACCAAATGCATATGAAATAAATATATACTAATTAATATTATAAATAATATATATGCATATATGAAATAACAAATGATACATAAATTATTAAAAGAAGATATAATATATAATGATATCTTAATTCCTATATTTATATGAAAAAAGGTCTTGTATATAATAATATCTTAATTCCTATATTTATATGAAAAAATACATGTGACTCCCAATTGGTAGGTAACCCTAAATGTACACTTTACACCCCCCCCCCCCCCCCCCCCCCCCCCCCTTCACAACAATATCGAAAAACACGCGTCCTTCTTCAACTCTCGTTACCGGCGTAATAAGTGCTCTCAAGTCTCAACCTGGCCTCGCCGGACCTCCGACTTCATGATGGACCCGAAGTTCGCCGGAAATCCAATTCCTACATCCCCGTATTACGGTGGTGGTCGAACCGATATTGATCAGATGCCTGAAACACCCAATCGTGGGTCTCACCACCGACGGGCCCAGTCGGAGACATTCTTCCGGTTTCAAGATGAAGACATCCTCCTTGACGACGTCGTTGCTGACTTCAACTTCGCCAATATCGACCTCCCTTCTTTCTCCTGCGATGCTCCTGTACCAACCACCACCGAAGATTCGTCATCCAAGTCTGAGAGAGAGTCCTCCGACGTCAACGCCGGTCAATTGACGCCGAGGAAGTCCATGGGGTACAGTACCCATCTCAGGAGTCTCTCAGTGGGTTCTGATTTCTTTGATGGTTTTGGTTTGGGCTCTGCCGCCGAGACGGAGAAGGTCGGCGATGGTGGTGCTGCGTATCGTCATAGGCACAGTAATTCGATGGATGGGTCTGCTGCGACGTCGTTTGAAGGGGATTCTGTGTTGATGATGTTGGATAATTCAAAGAAAGCACTTGCACCTGATAAATTAGCTGAGCTTTCTTTAATTGATCCCAAAAGAGCTAAAAGGTTTGGATTTTCTTGTGCCATTTTGCTACTTTTAATTCTAAGTGTTTATGTACTGTTAATGCGATTCTATATGTTTGATTAGTTGCCCAACAGTTTCTTCCTGATTTTGGGTGAATTGTGTGAAGTAATTGAGGATTCACAGATACATAATCTTTCGTTTTTGTAGGATTCTTGCAAATAGACAGTCTGCTGCTCGATCAAAGGAGCGTAAAACAAGATATACCGGTGAGTTAGAGAGGAAAGTGCAGACCCTTCAAACCGAAGCAACAACCCTCTCTGCAGAAGTCACAAAGCTGCAGGTACATGTTTGGTTTTGATTATAATTTCCAAGAATATTTGAATTTGATAGTTTTATGATATGTTTTGATTTGACTAGTTCATGTTGTAGGCAACTACAAGTAATTTGATCATGGGATTTCCCCCATCTCCTTATTTATGCTAGTAATGTAGTTGTGGTTATCATAAGGTATCAATGGGTATTTTCGATTTAGTTTTGTCTGATACATCTGTAAAAACTCGAAACTAACACTATGAAACAGTACCACGAATCATTATATTTCGACATAAGAGAAGGACTTTTCGCACCCTTTTCGTGTGTCGCACACTAGAAATTTTTCACTCTAAATCTGAAGGGCAAATTCTATAGGGTAGCAATCAAACCAGCTATGTTGTTTGGGTCCGGAATGTTAGGCGACAAGGAAGGGTGACGAGAGGAAGTTGCAGAAATGAGGATGCTTAGGTCGGGCCATGTTAGACAAAATTTTGATTTGAGGTTTCTCGGGCAGAGTTGGGAGTTGCCCAATATCAGATAAACCGAGAGGGGAGATTGTGATGGCTTGGGTATATTATTAGAAAGCTTGATTAGTTGAGGAGGTGAAGGAGGACGTGAGATGAGCAACTGAGGATGGACATGGTGGTCTTAGACGTTTCTGACAACAAGAGACGTTTTTGAAGACATGACCTATGATAGGAGTACTTGGAGACGACGGACTAGGGTAGCCAGATTAGATGTGGGGACCTGTAGCTAGCGTGGTTGGGTAGAAGGGAGTTGGTTCGCAAAGGTATAGTATTCTATGTGACTTCCATGTCGCTGTGATTTCACTATGCGACTTCCCGCTTCATCTTCCCAACTTCATCTAGTCGCTTATGGCGTACCGAAAGTCTACTATTTCAACGTTTTTACACAAACTGACCATTCTTGGTTAATTATGCACTTCTTTTTTATTCTTTTTTGCATACAAACACTGATAACATGTATGTCTAGCATATATCATACTTATTTGACATTAAATCAACTAATCATGCTAAAAATCAAATCTTTAACCTTTGTTTCATCACAACAATGTATTTGGTCGTTCTTCATCAAATTAACAGCCTTCTGGTTGGTTTTTCTAACTGGGTTTACATGTTCAGGTCCACATGTAAACGCTACAGACCTACCTATTAATTACATGAACCCTAGAAAATTTTAATATTCAAACATATAATTCACTATCCCTATACTTTTACAGTTATATACCATATATATATATATATATATATATATTATATAGGCGGAAGAGATAATGTGTTTTGCCAAAGTTGCAAATAATTACATTTGTTGTAACCCTACATGTTTGAGATTCTTATATTTGATGGTTTGTGTCCATAGTTTCTAAGAAAATGAATGGTCTTATATAACATGTAAATGCCTAAATGGTAGATTGATCGTCATTGAAGTGAAATACTCCATCCATCCCTTAAATATTACCTATTTGCCTGTGTTAATAACATTTCTATTTTAATTTGTCCCAAAATTAGTGTCCACTTTCAAAAGTAAGCCTATGCTTTCCGATTTTACCCTTGATTACAAGATGGAGAAATTCATTACTCTCTCTATTATTAAGGGTAAAATTGCCCGTTAATCAAAAAGTGTAATAGATTTACATTTATAAAACTATATACCCTTTTCATCGTGGACATTTATTATTGAGCGGAGGGAGTAGAAAACATGAGTTATGACTGGTGAAAATTGTATGACAATTTTCAATTTCATTCACGAATTGACAAGTTGAAGCGGATGGTGTTTTTATTATTGAAATATTAAAAAAATATCAACAATTTTGAAAAACAATTGACACGGTCACATTTCATGTGATGCAGCGGGATACTAGTGGCTTAACGTCTGAAAACAAGGAGCTCAAACTCCGGTTAGAAGCAATGGAACAGCATGCCCAGCTTAGAGATGGTAATTCTTTTAATTTTCTTATTATCTCTTCGTGTTCGCCTATTTTTTTCTTGAATCTTTATTGTAATATGCATAGCGTAAGTCATAGAGATGCACAAGACCCTGGCTTTTGCGGGTCTGGGCACGGGCCTTTCAAGTCCGTCTTTTAGTAAGCAAAGAAAGCCCATAGTAGCCCGGGCCAAAAGGCCCGATTAGGCTTTTTCAGGCAAGACTTTTTGGACTTTTTTTAGGCCGAGCTTTAACTAGGCCTTGAAAAGAAAAGTTCGCCTGATCGGGATTAAGCTCGGGCTTACTAGGCCCGGGCTTTTTTGGGCTTGGGATTTTGTATGCATCTCTAGCATGAGATTCTCATTAGTCATGATTCCTCAAAATAAATATACAATTCGATTGAGGTCAAACAAACTAATTTATTCGATTTCACAAATGCTTTAATTACAAAATGGAATATGTTAGATTTGTACCAAAGACCATATCAAATTTAAACTCATAAAATCAAGACTTAGGGGCCGTTTATCAAACGCTTATCTGGGTAAGCGCTTATCAAGTCATGTTACCTTACCGGATGAATATGGTAAGGACCAAGAATCTTACCCAGTAAGAACGAGACAAGGACCAAAAGTCTTACCGGGTAAGTGAGGGCGACGACTCTTACCACGGTAAGCGCTTACTAGGTAAATTGTTGCATATGATGTGGTTTTGGTGGACTAAAATCTTACCCGGTAAGTAAATAATAGTATTAAATTCTACCGGTAAGCACTTACCGGGTAAGTGTTTTGGTAAACGGCCCCTTACTATTCTATATATTTTGTTATTAGAAAGTGAAAATGTAAAAACGCAGAAAAAAGATCAATCAGTCCTTTTTGGACTATTGTACTCCAGATGATGTGTATTTCTTTCTCATATCCCTAGTAATTAATTCCGCTTTACGCTTTACAATCACACAATAACACATTCTCCCTGATATTTACTGTACCTTTTAGTAAATTTTCCTAAAACGTTGAATATATCCATGTCGAATTATAACTTGAAAGTAGGTTGTTTGGTACTCAGAATTGAAGTTATATGTTGGAACATTCCTTTTCTTCTCAAGGGCTCTTCTGGTGAGTAATATAATGGGGTTCCAAATATTATCTTATGGCATCAGAGTTAAGGTTTTCCCACTCTCTGGATTTGACACTCGGGAATAATCTGAGTTTGTCTACCGTCCGTTGGAGGGGGGATGTAGGAGGAATCCCGTATCTGCGTATATTTGGACAAGTTCTCCTCAGTATATGTTGGAACCTTCTTTCTTTCCTCAAATGGGGTTCCACATATTCTAACATGGTATCAGAACCAAGGTCTACCACCATTCTGGGACAATTTGTGTTTGTCTAGCCTCTATTGGAGAGGGAGAATTTCTCCTCAAAACAAATATGTTGGAACCTCCCTTCTTTCCTCCATGGCTCTTTTGGAGAGTAACCTAATGGGTTCTACATGGTATCAGAGCCAAGGTCTATTAGTCAACACTCTAGAACTTGTGTCTGTCTAGCCTCCATCGAAGAGGAGACTTTCTCCTCAATACAATATATATGCTGAAACCTCCGTTCAAGGGCTCTTTTTGGAGAGCAATCTCATAGGTGAGTTTGGTCAAACTGAATGCTAATTTAGAAAATCTGTTTGTTCTACTTACAGCTTTGAACGAAGCGCTGAGAGAGGAAGTTCAGCGTCTTAAATTAGAGGCGGGTCTTAACGGGATGAACTATAACGCATCATTGCCACCTCAATACTCATCACACGGTCGGCAGCCACTTCATAACTATCCTAACCCGAATGCCCAGCAGCAACAAAAGACCCAAAATTCAAATAACAACAACCGGCTGAAACCGAGCTTCATGGACTTCAATTAAATGGGTAAAAAGATGCAGAAGGTATGGTGATATATTACTATATATGTTGTAGATACATATGGAAATGTATACACAAGTATTAATGTTGAAGAGGAGCATTTGGCCAGAATCAGATATCGTTGAAGGTAGTGTTTGTGCATTAAGTGGTTGTTTATGTCTGTTTGATCCAGATCTTGTGGCCATGTTATTGTTATAGGGGTAGCGACAATATTATAAGAGATTCAGAATGTAAATTTTATGTACTGGTACTCCTACCAATCATATTCTCTATTATTATTGTTATTATTGCCTTTGGTGTGTACTCCTAGTTGGTAAGGGGTGGGGTGGGGTGGCTTTTGGCTAAATACAAGACAGGTCTCGGGTTCCATCCTCCCGCCCCCTGCCAGCTAGCCTTAGCCGTTCAGTGAGCCAAACAATCGCCCCCCTCATATTGGTGTACTTAAAGACGGATTATGTAGGACCGGTTAGGGTTGTTGGTAATCAACTTTTTATCCAAATTATTATTATTATTATTATTATTATTATCATCAATAAAGTTGGTGACTTTATTTCTTTGGCATGATCAAAAATAACATTTGCCGAAGAAAGATAAAAAGAAGCTATTTCTATGTATATGGATCCATAGTTTTCTTAGAGACCGTTTAATAAATACATGTTGGGTAAGTGCTTACTAGCAAAGAGTGCATCACTTTCACTTACTTTATCGAGTAACATTGTTGGCTGACAAGTTAAAGGTAACCATGTTTTACCTCATAATTGCTTATTGGATAAGAGTTTTCTTCCTCACCTATAGAATAAGATTCTCGGTTTTTGTTATGTCTTTTACTAGCAAGATCTCTCAGGTCTTGTCATGCTCACTCTGTAAAGTAGGTGACATCCGGTAAGAGTTTGGTAGACAACTCCTTGATTGATGTTTATTCTTGTCTCAAGTTTGTAGGAATTTTTAAGTAATTGGTCCCGGTCCCGTAATTAGGGGTGTTTAGAAATCCGATCAACCCAACCCAACACGAAATAACTCAAGCCGAAGCAACCCTATATCTAATCAAGTGTAAAATTGTCGAACCTTAGGTATTGGGTTGATAGTAGGTTACTATTATTTGAACCCAACCCAACCCGATGAACCCGATATTATTTTATTTCTTGGATTTAATGCGATTGTTTAATTTCTATTAATATGTAAATTAGACAATTACAATATCATGTATGCTCTTCTTATGCACATATTTTCAATCTATTCACATCTTTATACAACTCATTCGTCTATATGTTCAATAACGGTGAACATATATATGTAAATTGAGAAAATTAACTGAATGTGATGTACGTAAGAAGTATGAATAAGTTGTATCAAATGGTTGATGATGAAAAAGAAATTATTGGTAGAGAAATAACATATTCTAGGTTAGAAGAATATTTTAATGTATCAAAGTATCAACCAAACCGACCCGCCTAACCCAACCAACCCGTACGAGTTGGGTTGCACTTTGGTTCGGGTTGGTTTAGATTAAGATTTTCAAACCGTAAGCATTGGGTTGGGTTGTTCAAATGTCTTCAACCCGATCAACTTAACCCATGAACACCCCTACCTGTAACTGATCCAACACTTGAGAATTGTAACTTACTATAAGGAACTGATCAACATATCCCAGGAACTGGAAAATGGGTCTAAGGGGCCATTTACCGAACGCTTATCTGGATAAGTGTTTACCAAGTAAAAAAAAGTCACATTACCTTATCGGATGAATATGACAAAGACCAAAAATCTTACCCAGTAAGAATGAGGCAAGGACCAAGAGTCTTACCCAATAAGTAAAGGGCGACGACTCTTACCATGCTTAGCGCTTACCGGGTAAATTATTGCATACAATGCCGTTTTTGTTGATTAAAATCTTACCCAATAAGTAAGTGATAGTGTTAAATTTTATCGATAAGTGCTTACGAGGTAAGTATTTGGTAAACGGACTCCTAAGGGACCGATATTTCATGTAAATTTAGTAGTTAATGATTTTTACAAAGTGTTATATAAGTTTTTCAAGATTTTTTCTAGTAAATGTAATATTTAAAGTATATTTAAATGCTCGAATTTGAGAATCATAATTATAGAAATTTGTATGATATTTTTGTGAAGATTCTTTTTAAGAAATTGATTCTTGAGGCCGCATTTGGGACAAGTTGTAAGGATAGGACGACCGGCCGACCCGTTTACAAGCCAACGTCTTTGAACCGAAATCGATTTGGCACTGGATCGAGTTTTAGCCATCAGTAACTACTGTCCTAACCGGCCGCTTTAGGTTTAAGTTATTTGTGTGTCTGCTTTGTTAGAAATAGAGTAATAGAAGGAGAAATAATGCAGTAAATCAATGATTAGAATGTGAATAATCACTGTCCTTAGGATATTATTAGCGCTTGCTAACACGCCTAGGATTATCTAATTAATCATATAGATATGTTCAACAACAAAACAAATCTCCTAATGAACATTTCTGTAGAAATTTCTATGAGGAGAGAGGATTGAGAGAGATGGTGACGATGAGATGATTACGCATATATATAGGTTTGTGTTAGTAACTGATTGTGGATAAGAAAAACTGACAATTGATTTTATCCAAATCAGAGAACCATGAACAACCCTATAAAAAAGGTCAGAAACTCACGAGACAGTGAGTTCGGCAACTTTTCTGGAGGGTTAAGTCTCACAGAAAGTCGTCAGAGACACTGTCCCCGAACACAGATCCAGAAGGCCACACGACTTTTTTTGGCAACCTAAGTTGCGTGGAAAACTCATATTGGAATGACACACGCACAACATGCTAGTGCTATCTTTTGATCGTTTAATATATGTATAAAACTCACACAAAGGCCAAATCCTTCTCTGCTCACCTAATCTCTTATAAACTACAGAAGAATTTATCACTCTTCCAATGTGGGACAAGTGATATGCCTAAAGTTCATATATATAGCTCATCGATACAAGTAAGATTCCATTATTTGTTCTATGTGGGACCAAACCTCACTTTAAATCTTACTGTGAAGACTATACATACAACAAGCTTCGGTCTGGTTCTTATAGTGATGTTTGTATTGTACACTCTCGTTGCTATCGCAATAATCTTTGAGACATGATTGCAGCAAAAGTCGTGTTCTCCTTGCCGACAAAATCACAAGCCATTGTGGCTATAACCGGGAATTGTGCTTCTTTTTATTCCTCCACCACGCTTAAAACATCAATACTGATTTATCTGCATTTATATATAAAAGGAAATCAGTTAAAATATCCAACAACTAGTACTGTTATCTTTTAACCGTTTAATATATGTGTAAAATTCAGACAACAAGGCCAAATCTTCTTAGCTCATCTAATCTCTTAAACAATTCTATAAGATGATTAGAACTTATAAACTATGAAGACTATATATATAACAATGAATCATTGTTTTACTACCAATCACAAGCTTCAGGTTGGGTGTAGTATTCATACCGGAAGTTATGATCATATCCAGTTTTTTCGGGTTAACAGAAAGAAGATAATAAAATGAGTTTCAAACTTGCCAATCTCAGTATCAGTGTTTTTTTTATGGATTGCTATTTCAAGTATTGCTCATGTCGGCTTTCTTATGTCAGGATATGGTTCAAATAATAAATATTCTTTTTTTTTTCCAAGAAAAGCTAGTATCCTCCCTTGGACTTCTCCCCTACTTGAGGGCCGTTTACCAAATGCTTGATCGAGTAAGCATTTACCATGTTAAACCTTCATCAAAGGGTATACTTAGAAAAAGACTGGGTTTTGGTTGTTGCCAACTGATCAAATAGGTCTTAATCTCATTTCACGGCTAGTTCTAAATACCAGATCCTTTGAAAGTCCCTTGGTAAAAGGATCAACCAAATTATTTCATGTTCTTGCATACGTAATTGTTTCCATCCCATCAGATATTAACTCTCCCATATACACATGTCTCAAACTAATATGTCGAGATTTCCCATTATAAATCTTATTATAGGCTCAAGAAAAAGTTGCCTCACTATCACAATGTAAAGAAAATGGTTAACATCGGTTGTGGCCACAACTTTATATGCAATAACATATTTCCATTTTGCTTCTTTGCCTACTGTTGCTGAGGCTAAAAACCCAGATTCCGTGGTGGAATTTGTTATGCAAGTCTGCTTCTTTAAGACCCAAGAAACATCACCGTCACCAAGCATAAAAATCCAATAACTCATGGATTCAATATCACTATTAGCAGTAATCCAAGTAGCGTTAGAATATCCTTCTAGAACGGTAGGAAAGTTTCACTTGGTCCTCGTATGGTATTGACTAACACAAGAGGTGTTTGTAGAAGGGGGAAGAAGGTTGAATACAAATACAACATATTTCACTTTTAGTTCTATCTGTTTATTGAAAACAAAGAATTACAAATTTGTTGCGAAAGCTATAAAGGTAAGACTTGATTTTAAACAATTTGACCGATGACAAATTTACTATAACTGAAAGAGTAAGAGAAGAAAACACTATTTCAGATCTGAAGCATTAAGATAGTCCTTCAGATGGTTGACGCCCGATTTTGTGTAAGAAAACTATCACTCACAATTCCTTCTAAAACAGATGAGTTGCAACAACTGATAAAAACAATCTTTTATAGTCATCAGTACATTAAATGTCGTTGTCCAACTTTAACTTTACTTTATCTTTAAAAATGGAGATCAAGGAGGGGTTGCCACCACTGTTGGGAAGGGTGAAAGTGTTAGAATATCCACCTAAGTATTACGGTTTTCCTTTGTCGACTCATTCTGAGGTAACCGGTTACCTGCTCAACAGGTAAACGGAACCCTTTTAATTAAATAAAATATTTGTTTCAAACCTTAAAATGAAAATTTTAAAATTCGGTTCTACATAAAAATAAAGTCAAGTGTTGTTTATTTTTTATACAATTATTTTCTTTATTTTTTTAATAATTTTTATGATAATAATTGAAGAAATAATTTAAAAGAAAAGGAAAAGGAAAATACCTTTAAATGGGAAGGGGGAGGCGGCCGAGGTCAATACCAAAACCCGTGGCCGGTTTATATTTCTTTATGCGTAGCGTAGCAGACGTACAAGTAAAGTATAAAAACAATCACCACCACCACCACCACCACCAGCAGCAGCGCCACCACCACCGCTTCCGCCGTCAACCCCACCTGCTAAAGTTTCGTTATTTCACTACCCTTTTATTTGAATTTGAATTTTAAATTGGATTCAGAAGAGTAGTTTTTTTGGGTCTGTGTACTGGGTTAGGCTTACGATCTGCTCCGCCGTCTTCCGTTGCCGCCGGTGAAAATGGACAACATCTTCTCACAGCTCCCACAAGACATAATTCACCAGATCTTCTCTCGAATCTCACTCCGGCAAGTCATCATCTGCCGTTCCGTTTCCAAGATCCTCAACTCCACCCTTTCCTCCCCTTCCTTCACCCATCTCCTTGCCACCACTTCCCCTTTCCCTCTTCTCGCCCTCCGCCCTCCCCACCGCCACCACCACCTCTCTCCTTCGCCCCTCCTCCATCTCTTCGATCCCATCCAAACTCATTGGCTCCATTTCTCTTTATCTTTCCTCCCTTTCCCCTCCGCCCATCCAATCGCTTCCTCCCTCGGCCTCTTATACCTCTGGGCTGACTCGCCTTCTTCCGATTCCAATAAATCTCTTGTTGTTTGCAACCCTTTAACTCGACGATACAAAACCCTCCCACAACTCGGTTCCGCCTGGTCACGACACGGTTCCGTCCTGGTCGGCTCAACCAACAACCGAGTCATCGTTCTTAACGAACTCGCTGCCCTTTACTATTCAAACTCAACCAATACCTGGCTTAAATTCTCATCTAATTTGCCATCCAAACCCAGAAGTCCGATTTTCGTTAACGACGCGATCATTGCCTTATGCGATGTCGGATCGCCGTGGCGGAGCCAGTGGAAGCTTTTTACTTGTACCCTTCAAAACCTTCAAACATCTCAACCATGGAACACCCTTGAAAAACACGAATGGGGAGATGTTTTTGACATCCTGAAACGTCCTCGTTTGTTGAAAGGATTTGGGAATACGATTCTGATGATTGGGGGATTGAAATCATCTTTCTCACTCAATGCCTCATGTTCCACCATTTTGATTCTTAGATTGGATTTGGGTACTCTGGAATGGGGTGAAGCTGGTAGAATGCCTGTTGAAATGTTCAGATGCTTCCAAGAATCAAGCAAGTTTAAGGTATTTGGAGGTGGGAATAGGGTCTGTTTCTCTGCCAAGAGGATTGGGAGATTGGCATTGTGGGAATCAAATGAGAGAGGGAAGGAAGAATGGAGGTGGATTGATGGTGTTCCAGGCAATGGAGACGGTTTGTATCGAGGGTTCTTGTTCGATGCTAGACTCGATGCTTCGCCTTAATGGAGGTCTGATTTCCCTTTTAAGCTTTAGCTTTACTTGAAAGTTTTTGAGATTATTGACATTGATTGCACTTTAATAATATTATCACATTATAGCCTTGGTTCTTTGTTTGCAGCTGTATTGATGCCTTGCTTTCTTGAAATCCTTTTATGTCTTATTATGTTAAGCTAATTCCGCAAGTTTGCGTTTGATGGTTTACAACGAAAAGCCATGCCTTTTGCATACATTTGTTGTTTTTGGTTTTAGCTTTTTAGTAACTATAAAGTTTTGTGTGACTTAGGGGTTGTTTGGTTGGGTAAAGTTGTCTATGTGGATTAATTTATCTGTATACATTAGGAATGTTTCTGTTTGAGAGGGGTTTTCATAGATAGAAGGGGCGTGCTTTTTAATTGAGAGCAGGTTTATAAAAAGCTTGGCTTTATATATAAAGCTCCCTCCTAGAAGCTTACTGAATAAGCCACTTTCAATATCATTAAGCCACTACTAAACAGTTATGTATAGCTGACCAAATAAGTTGTGAGTCTCATTAAGCTCGTTAAGCTACTAGCAAACAGACCCTTAGATTCTAAATTCTTTTGATACATGCTGAGGAGATTAAGAATTGCTTTAATATTTCAAAACAATAAGCAAACATTATTGAGCGACTCGAGTTGGTGGTAGATCTTTGGTTGTTCTTCTCATTGAGGATCGACATTTTGTTGTGATGCATTAAGATTTAGGTTCTATATGTTTCGGCCATTTATTTAAGATTTTAACAGTTCCCTTTACAGGCAAAATGCATCAACATGCAATGAAGTTTGCCTTGCTTCTTATTTAGTGTAACAGAGATTTTCTTTTTCTTAATCAATGTAACTTAACAAAGTTTAAAGTTTTCTACTTTTATCCATTTTGGCCGGTAACCTGCAGATTTTGTAGCATTTGATGACGTGCATGCTGTATATGTCTCATGAACGGGTATCCACGTCATCAAATGTTACAAAATCAGTAGGTTATTAGTCAAAATTGGTATAAGATAGGAAATTTTGAAACTTTGTTGCATCAATTGAGAAAAAAGATCATTACACTAAATAGGAACTAAACCAAACTTTGTTGCATTTTTCTTTATTGTGGATTCTATTTACTTGATGAGAACAAAGATGGAACCACAAACTAGAGAACACAAGATAGAAAAAATGGAGGTAAATTTTAACCACAAGGGTGGTGGCTGATTGGTTTGAGTTTGGCTCCAAATGTCAAAAGATCAGGAGGTCCCAGGTTCAAATCCAAGGAGGATTAAAAATCCCCTTGTGGCCAAGGAGGTTCAAATGCGGTGACTCTGGGCTATCTGCAAAGCAGGTGGTCGCCCTGGGATTAGTCGGCTCGTATAGTGGATTGGATATTCAGGTTAATAAAAAAAAAATGGAGGTAAATGATGCACACAAATAAAAAAAGCTTTTTGTATTTAGTTAGCTTGGTTTCTAAGGTGTTCTTTCCCCTGAGACCTTTTAGATGATCATTCTATGGAGAATGTGTTGGGGATGGAATCGGAGTTTGATTCGTGGGTATCAAGTTAATCGAGATGATGTTGTTTATCGACACTTTTGACTAACCTAGGTGCTGACTGAATCAGCCACCAATATGTCATTCTCTGAGTCAGACCGTGCTCTTTCAAATTGTTTCTCCGTAAGCACTTGCTGCAAAACAACCATTTTCAATCGAAGTTTACCTACCCTACTAGCATTTACCCCATTTGTGTCAGTAAACGACCCCTAAATGTTTATCAAATGGTCTGGAAACTATAAACTTGGCCCTTGTACCATTGAGTAAAACCGCTTTCGGCCACTAATATTGGATCGGTTTAAGAAGTTAAGTGTCATGTTCCGGCCACCTTTGGACCATTCGACCCGCTTTCCACACGAACAACTAACCATTTGACCCACTTTCGTTATAATTAGAGTTACGTTCTTTTTTGACCAGAAAATAGCATCTATGGCAAGTAAATCTAATACGTAATTCCATAAAATGAATAAAAATGTAAGACATTTAAAAGAAAAGAAATACATAAATGTGAAGGATGATGGTAAAAAAGCAAAAGAAATTTGGTGATGGTGTTAAAATGAAATTGGGGAGATGGAATCTTTGGGGTACCAGAAAATGGTATGAATTTGGGCACCAAACAACAGTTTCAGTTTCAGTTCCAGTTCTTGATTGTACGCCTCTGCTGTGGGTACAGCAGGGATCACGGATCCAAAATTAACATAAGGCCCCTTTCCTTCTATACACACACACACACACACACACACACACACATATATATATATATATATACATATATATATACATATATGTATATATACATATATGTATATATAGACTTGGGTCATGTGAGACCAACCTGTTTTCGTGAGACCCGTGAGACCAACATTTTACACTTGAAACTTCACAGCAAAATGCTGTGAAGGTGACGTTTTAAAACCTTCACAGCGTTTTTGCTGTGAAGGTTCGACTTTTTTTAAACCTTCACAGTGTTTTTGCTGTGAAGTTTACGTGTAAAAATGTGGTCTCACGGGTCTCACGAAAACATGTTGGTCTCACGTGAACCCAACCCTGTATATATATACATATATGTATATATGTATATATATATATACATATATGTATATATACATAGACTTGGGATCATATGAGACCAAGGCTTTTTCGTGAGACCCGTAAGACCAATTCTCATCCCTTGGATTATGTCTATAATCATCAGATCTGAACATTCACAAACGCCACAAAACTTCTCAATAATCACAAAATTGCCACCGTTCAATTTTAGACCATTAGATCATTAGCTTATAAAGTTGATCAATGAACGTAAATTGGTCTTACGGGTCTCACGAAAAACCCCTGGTCTTACGTGAACCCAACCCTATATACATATATGTATATATATACATATATGTATATATATGCATATATGTATATATATACATATATGTATATATATAGGTGGAGGTTAGAACCCCTGTGATTTACGAAAACCCGAGAACAACTCAACAACCACAAACTTTTTTAATTAATAAATTAACTTTTATTATATATAAATAATTTAATAAGGGCAGTAATGTAATTAAGTAATTTTTATAATTTTTATTTTATTTTAATTAACCATGTTTATCTTCACGTTTCCACGTCTTCTTCTCCTTCATTGATCATGTCTTCTTCTCCTTCATTCATGCGTCTCCAAATCACACCCATATCACACCAAATCGGTAGTCGATTTTTTAAGTTAACCCTAGCCGAACGGAATCCTTGTGATAATTGTGTGATAATCACATAATTATCACACCCAAATCACACCAAATCATGTTGATATAAGCGATAATGTGATAATTGTATGATAATCACATGATTATCACACCCATATCACACCCAAATCACACCAAATCGTGTTGATATAAGCGATAATGTGATAATTGTATGATAATCACATGATTATCACACCCATATCACACCAAATCGTGTGGATATAAGCGATAGTGTGATAATTGTGTGATAATCACATGATTATCACACCCATATCACACCAAATCGTGTGGATATAAGCGATAGTGTGATAATCACATGATTATCATACCCATATCACATGATTATCACACCAAAAATTTAAATTATCAACTAAAACGATAACACAAGTGATGTATAACGGTGATTATCACACCCATATCACATGATTACACGAAAAAATTTAACTTTTCAACCAAAACGATAACCCAAGTGATGTATAACGGTGATTATCACACCCATCTCACATGATTATCACACCCATCTCACATGATTATCACACCCATATCACATGATTACACCAAAAATTTAACTTATCAACCAAAACAATAACCCAAGTGATGTATAACGGTGATTATCACACGCATATCACATGATTATCACATGATTAGGGTTGTTTGTTGCATGCAATGGCTTCTCGATTAGGGTTCTTGGTCGATTACGGTTGTGTGTTCTTGGTTGGTCACCGTCGATCAACACCGTCGCCGTCCGTAGTTCTTCCGATTTGAAGTTAGACTTGTAATCGTAACCGTTTTGTAGATGATAATGATAAGTTTAAAAGATTTTGATTGTGTTTAATGATAAGTTTAAAAGATTCTAATCGTTTTCTAGATAATATATCATTTCCATTATTACCCTTTTAGTTTTAAATTTTTTTGAATCTTTTTAAATTTTAATTTTAATTTTAAAAATCTTTTAATTTTATTTTTTATCACAATATGTGGTTATTGAGTTGTTCTCGCGTTTTCGTAAATCACAGGGGTTCTCGTTTGAACCCTTCCCTATATATATATATATATATGAACGATCAAATGAAAACCATCCTCATTTGTAAAAACCGTACAAACCACCCTCATACGTCGATTTCATTGTTTAATCTTATGAAATTTTTTCATGAAATTGTTTAATCTTGTGAAATTGTTTCATACAATACTTTTTTTGATGAATTTGTTTCATATATGGTTATGAAATTGTTTCATATAATACTTTTTTTGATGAATTTGTTTCATATATGGTTATGAAATTGTTTCATATAATATTTAATGAAATTTTAATGAAACTAAAATAATGATGATAATAATATCCATGATTAACACCCTCCACAATAAAAATGGTTGATCAACCTCTCATAATTTCAAAAAAAAATGAACAAAATGAAAAATTATGATTGGTTGAATGAGGTTTTCATGGTTTTTACAAATTGAGTGGTTTTTATTTGAACGTTCCCCCATATACACACACACACACACATATATATAGGGGCCTAATCAAATGAGAAGTAAATAGTTTGTAGTAATCGTGAGATCCAACGTGAGCCAATCATTTAAAATAATTAATGTTATTTACTAAAATAAAATAAAGGGTAAATAGGTAATTTGACAATTTGATTTTTTTTAATAACAAATCAAATCATTAATTATTCAATTTACACTTACCTAATTGATTTGAATTTACCCTAAATAGTTGGGTTTTTATATGGATGCTTCCCTTTATCTCTTTGTATCTTGTATGTATTTTGGGTATCACAACGTGGATGATCGGTATGTATTTCTTAAATTTAGATTATG